CGCTCTTGGGGTTGGAGACTTACGCAATGAATATGTGTGTGTGTGTGTGTGTGTGTGTGCGTGCGTGCGTGCGTGCGTGCGTGCGTGCGTGCGTGCGTGCGTGCGTGCGTGCGTGCGCGTGCGCGTGATAGGAGCGGTGACGATCGGTAGAATTCTTGAAGTCTTCGTTTCGATTTGGAACGGTCGGTCGGCCTTGTCACTTTTTGCAGGTGGTCGTGGTCGCTCTCCTCGTTTTGATGGTGCACACGGGCCTGTGGTTCATGAAAGAGTTGCCCGGATCGAGGATGCAAGATGTGCAGAACTTTGCCTAGGTCGAAAAGTTATCTATACATACTACCAAAACAGCTGTCTGGCAGTAGATCGGACAAATATTTGCCATCCCTTCCAAGTCAGAGATTGCTACATTCTAGTCAGGCCGTGCTTCTCCGCTTCATCATGCGTACCCAGGGCATGTGTCATCTAGGCAAAGTCTCCTGGTTTCGTGAGCTTCCGAACTAGACACAATCAGCCGAGTCATCTTCACGAGTCGAGGTTGGCCGAGCTGCCAGGGCAGCTGAAAGCCTTTCGGATACAAGATGTGGCCTGGCCGCAGTGGCTGATTTTCCAAGCATTCCAGAGCCCTCAGCGCCTCAAGAATGGCGGTGCAACAGTCAAGTGACTATGCGCCAGTTGGGATACGCGGGTACAATGCCCTTGCTCCTGCCGGCAGCCGGTTCCTTGAGCAAGAGAGACCTCTTGAAACCTACTGTTTAAGGACTTATATGAAGACATCATAATCGGGAACCCCAAAAACCCTAAACACCCTAAACCCTAAAGTTGTACTTCAAAAATACGGCTACTTGTACCCTCGCCTCTCAGAGGCTATGCACTGACATTCGCCGAGAGCTTCCCGGATTCCCGGCTCCTGAGGCCGCATGCTACTGCTGTGCACACGGCCACCGTCATCCAAAGACGGGGGCAAAGATTCCGTGTGATCGAGAGTACGCCCCTTGACAGCCATTAGACCTGCACCAGCTTATGTGCTTGAGTCGAGACGGCTTGAATGGAAGACGTATCCAGACGATTCTGGAGCTTTAGGTCCACAGATGCCGAGTTTTGATATATATATATATATGTGTGTGTGTGTGTGTATATATATATATATACGTGTGTGTATATATACATATGCCCATCGGGAAGTTTTCATCCCGCGCAGCAACTGCATTGGGCGGAGTTGGGGATGCGGTTTGCAAGGTTTTTCGTTAGGCAGCATGCTTTCAGACTTTCTGCCTTCCTGCCGAAGGTGTACTGGATGATTCGAAGGCCGGTGAGTCGCAGATACGGCACAACAGTGCCAGCGGGATTCATCCAGGGGGAGATGTCCATCGGCAGACCATGAACAGGGGTGCACAGCTACATCTCCTGCATCACTGGCCCCAGGTGGTTTCATGATCCAGAAGCTCCGGCGGAGTCGAACCTGGATTCGTCACATAACTCCAGAAGCCGGGTGGTAGGGAAGTGCCTCCGGGCTTGGGCTCGCGGTTCACACGCAAGCTAGAGCAACTAGATGCTCCAAAGGAAGCTCAGCACAGCCACCGTTGGAAGCCCACCTTTGTTCCAGAGCCAAGCATGTAGTGCAAAGTCCTGACGGCCTACGGCCACCCGTAGCCGGGCGAAGTAACTGTAAGCGATTTCCATTATGGACGCAGGCCCGAACGGCTCTCATGCCCAAGGTTCAATGCAATGGTGAGAGAGCAGCTGGCACCTGTGGTGCTCAAGCATGCAGGCCGGCAAGCAATCGGGCATGTCCTGCACGTGTCAAAAGGCATTCTGTGCCAGCCAAGCAGGATATCAGATCACAACAGACCTTCAACTTGCATCCAAAACGCGAGTAGAAGATGGTTTTCAAGGTCCAGGAAAAGCTTTGCAGCTCGTTGACCCGCTGTCGCTGCGCTTTCCAAAGAACAGCTAGCCTCAGCTAGCGGTATTCGGGCTTACAATCCGAAGCCGCATCTACAGCGCAGCCACGCCTGGGCTGTGAGATGATCAGGGGATGATAATTGAACGAGATACCACGTTTGCGGGCTCGTAGCTGAGAAGACGGAAAGAGCTGCGAAGTCATAAGTGAACCCCCTGGCCGGAAGTGAAGCATCGCCTTGTTGGAAACGCCTTGAGGTGGGAGCACGCTGCCTTTGAGCTACGCTCTGTACGCCTGTGCCGCCTGCAACCTGCCCTGGCTCATTGACTACATTCCCTGGTGGTGGGCTGCTGTGGATTCAGGCTCGTATCAAGCCAATCGGATGTGTCCCAGTGATGTCCCGACAGATAACAAGCTTTCCTCGGCTGCACACTCCAAAGTCTCCAAGCCCTGCAGAGAAATCTCCGAGTTCATGATTTCTGAAGGTCGGGAGCCTTCTGCTAGAGCAACCGGGGATCCCTAGCCTAACATGAAAGGACGGCCGGCTGCAGTGACGTAAAAAGGAAACTCCAACCCGAACAAGTCCCATCTCCACGAAAAGTCCCCGAACAAAAGAGACACCTGCCGTCGAGTTTGTGCATGAGGATTCGACACTTTGTGCCTTAGGATTCACACGTGTGTCCATGCACTCCATGAACAGCTTCGGGCCCTTGAAGGAGAGAAAACTGGCATTGCATTTTTTTTGTGGTTCCTCCGCGCCCTGATGCTGTACCTGTACCACGCTCTTCTGCAGCTGGCAATGCCGCTCGGTGGCCGTGGGGAAGTTAAGTGAGGCTTGGAGGTTGACATCATGTCTTCGCACGTTGAAGGTGAAGCCCTGCCTGTTTCTACTACTTACTACTACAAGAAGAACAAGACTTGTGTCAAACTCGGGTTGCTGGAAGCGAGAACATGCCAGCACCAAAACCCCCAAGTCAAAAGTCAGGATGCGCATTTGCACGATGATGTGGAAAGCCTTGCTGCCACTGGCCGACCGAATCTGGCGTGTTGTATTGACAACGGTGCAGGCCGATTGAGCCTATGTCGCGAATCGGGAATGGGCTTGTGTGGCGTTTGCAAGGAGCTGCCTTTAGGTTTAAGGATTCCTGAACCAGACACCACCAGCCAGTGTTCAAAGGCCATCGTGAATGGGTTATAAGGCCCGTGAGAAGGGTGATTACTGCTATGTTCCGGCTTATCTGAGCTCTTATTCATATTATTCTACGAGAAAGTCTGTGCTTCCACGTGATGTTGCAAAGCACTGGCTGCTGCAAGACCGGCAGCGACTTCGATTTGCTTGCTAAACCGACAGCTTTGCACTGGTTTGCCCCCCTGAAGATTGTTATCATGCTCGTCATTGCGATGGTTTTCTGGCTGGCGTTTCGCATTGTGTACCAGGCCACATGCAATTATCTCTCTCTCTCTCTCTCCCGACAAGCACCAAGTGAAAAAGACACAGCACATCATGCCGGTGCTGCGCTGGATTGAGGGTGTCGTTGCAGACATTCGCTGAAGCCAAGCCGCATGACATGAAGGTCCAGAGGTCATGCAACATTGTGTAGACACCCAGCATGCGCCAGGTCACAGACAGCACGAGTTTGCTGCCTTCCGTGCCTTTTTTCGCTGTCGTATCTCAGCTGCAGCTTGTGCCATCAGGATCTGCGCTTGCATCGCAAGCCAGGAGGAATTGCAAAGTCGATAGCAGAATTTGTCCATGAGCTCCAGCTTTAGCCTTGCCCCGGTAGTGCTGGCCGCGAGAATGAGGCTCCACATGGCCTACGGGGATCGTGGGGGGGGTGCCTTCATGAGTCAAATTCCACGAGGTCATCCTGGACATCACCCTTTTTTGGCGATCTGGAGAGCAAGTTCCAGCTTCTGGCAAACCAGAGCATACAGAAGCAGGTCGAGGGCCTGCATGCCTAGCGGGATAGAGGCATAACCTCCCCTCTGCCCGTTCTGCGTTGGCCGTGGAGTTGAGATAGTGGTTTGCAGAAACCTGCTACGGGTGAGGTCCGTCTTCATCCAATGCCTCGGAGCCTGAACCAGATGATGTCGAGAAGAAGGCTTCAGCCTGCGGATTGATGTTATTTGCGGCCTCCAAAGCTTAAGATTCCATCATTGTGCCTTCGCATGAGTTTCATAAAGAGTGCCGGCACGGACGTTAGATTGAACCCCAAACAGTGGAGCCTCCGAACTCCCTTCCATTGAACTTCGCGAGAAGCAGGCCGAAGATGCTGGAGGGGTTCCCGGTCACACCATGACCATGGCTTTGCGCGTTGCCGCGGAGCCTGAACCAGATGATGTCGAGAAGAAGGCTTCAGCCTGCGGATTGATGTTATTTGCGGCCTCCAAAGCTTAAGATTCCATCATTGTGCCTTCGCGTGAGTTTCAGAAAGAGTGCCGGCACGGACGCTAGATTGAAACCCTAAACAGTGGAGCCTCCGAACTCCCTTCCATTGAACTTCGCGAGAAGCAGGCCGAAGATGCTGGAGGGGTTCCCGGTCACACCTTGGCTTTGCACGTTGCCAGATCAGAGGCCGAAGGCCCGCTAATCGAAGTGAAACTATAGACAACAAATCCTTCTCCACATAGGCTTTTAAAAAGCCAAAAATGGCTTTTTGGGAAGCCAGGAGGCTTCCGAGTCCCGTTTCACAAGCGGTTTGCTCATACCACTCATGTACGAAGCTTTAACTGCTTTATTTTTTGCCGAGAGGGCGGGTGGCCTCGAGCCATCAGCCCTGGTCAACATTCCCTGGCTGGGTTTTCTAGTTGACCCCCTTTTTTTCGGCATATCAAATCAGACCTGCTGCTTCAATCTTCAAGCGGTTTTCACAGCTCCGAAGGAAGCAGAAATCCTGACCAGGTGGAGAGAATTCATGAGAATCAAGAACTGTCGGGTTCGTGTTGTCTTGAAAGTGTTGCTGTGTGGGCGGCAGGATTCTGCTCAAACTGCGAGCTGCTGTGGTCGATTGTGACCGAATATATCCGTTGAAAAGATGTCGTTCTTTCTCTCTAGATATCTAATAGAAATTCAAGAGTTAATATATAAACTGTTTTCATGATCCATAATTCATATCTTTTCGCAATTCTGCAATCTCAGAGACTGTCAGGAATATAAGATGAAGATATTATTTATTCTTCTTTATATAGTTAGTTTTCTTTTAGAGTCTAGTATGATTAAGGTTCTATTAAAATCCATATGAAATATTTTCTTATGGAATTCTTGATTCATTTCGATATAAGTAGATTAATCTATTTTCTATCTTATCGGGATATGAGAAAGATGTTTAAAATATAAAAAAATGATTTAAAAATAAAAAATGAAAAAAATAATATTTTGAAATGAAATATGAAAATCGAATGCCAAAATATATTGTATAATTTTACTTTCTTTCTTGCAGGAATTTATATTTCATTTTTTATAATTTATAAATATTGATTTTGGAATAAAGATATGGTTGAATAATGAATACGAATAATTTGTGCGTGATAAAATTATCGCTTATATATGAAGAGAATTGAAATTAAAGAATAGCTGAAGAAGATATTCTATTAAATTCTTCGAAATTATTTTTCTTGTATGATTAGGTGGTATAAATAAATTCTGATTAGAAATATATTTATTATATCTTTATTAAGAAATTTCGATTTTTTCTTAATTAATTTTCTATTTTGAATATCTAATAAAGGAATATCAAAAAATGAAAAAGAAATTCGAAAATAAATCGGATGGTGTCGGAAAATACGATATTAACGAAGAAAGAAATTAGGAAAAGGTTTGGAGTCTTATGTAATCGGGTTTAAGGTTAATTCTAACCCTACACTCGACTACGTTAGACTCCACAACTATAGCAAATGAATAATTAAAAAACAAAGAAACACATAAAAATTAGAAAAAATACACCATGAATATTAGTTATTTTATGTTATTACGACAAACCGGTTAGAAATATTATTTCTTTTTCTCTTTTTTTGGTATAAATGAGAGAAGAAGAAAGATCGTGGTCTTTTCTTCTTTCGATTATGGCCAGAAATTAAGATATGAAGGAAAATCGTAGTCTTTGTATTTCTATAATTAAAGATAAAAATCGAAAGTTGCAAGACGTGGTTTTTCCGCACTCGGGTTTGGATTAAGATTCCAGAAGTGAAAGAAGACCGCGCGTTTTGAATCTCTCTTTCCACACTCGGTTTGGCTTAAGATTCCCTAAGTGAAAGAAAACCGCGCGCTTTGAATGTCTCGGTTTTGATAAATAGATCGAGAATTGAAAGAAAATCGTAATCTTTTATTCCTCGATTTTGATTTGAAATTAGAAACTGTTCTTTTTTATTCTTCGCTCGATTTAAAACAGAAATCAAAAAGGAAAGGAAAAACGCGCTCAATTTATCCCTTCGATTTTAATCATAAATCTAATAAATAGAAAATATATTTTCTATTCATATAAAGATTCTTATGCGATTTAATCTGTCGCCTCATTATAATGATATTTTTCATTTTTCACGTATCTTATCTTTTGATTATCGAGCGACGAATAAAACGAATACGTATTTCTATTATCTTCCGATTTATAGATAAAATCGAAGAACGAAAAGATCGTAATTTTATTTCATCTCTCGGTTTGTACAAGATGAAAGACGCGCGTTTTTGTTCTCTTCTCGATTTAAGAGCAAATCCGAAAGATAAAAGAACCGCGATTTTCATTTATCTTTTAAGCGACGAATAGAAAGATACGATTTGTCTTCTCTTCTCGTGTGACCAAAATCGAGGGATGTAAAGAGCGCGGATTTCTTTTATCAAGCGGTTTCTGGATAAAATAAAGAGGAGAAATAAATTGAGCTTTCTTTCGTATCCCGATTTGTGGCCAAAATCGAAGAACGAAAAGAGCGCGGATTTCTTTCTCTTCTCGATTTCTGGCCTAAATAGAGGAATGAAAGGATCGCGATTTTCTTTTATCTCTCGGATTACGATCAAATTCGAGAGGTCAAAGGAATACGAATTTCTCGCATTGTGTTTGAAGCAGAGAAATGAAAAGAATATGATTTTCTTTTATTTCTTGATTCGAAATCAAAATGAAGAGATAAAACGAATACGGGCGGCCTTCTTTCTTCTCGCGATTAATAATAAAAATCGAAGAATGAGAGCAGCACGGCCGCGGCTTTCCCTCTCGGATATAGACCAAATCGAAGAGATGAAGGGAATGAGATCTTCTTTATATCTCGAATTGTAAGTAAAAGTCGAAGACCAAAAGAATATGATCTTCTTTGTCTTCAAAAATTCGTAGATTTATTTCATTTTTCGATTTAAGATCAAAATCGAAAGTTAAGAAGAGCGATCCATAATCATGAAATCGTAGTCGCGCAAAATCAAAGAACGACTTGTTGAAAATCAAAATTTTGAATTATGCAAAAAAAATTTGCGATTTTCAATATTTAGTTACATGTTTTATATAATTCTTATTTTTCTTGCTTTCTAATTTTGTTTTCTTATTCTAAATTATTTTCTATTATCATCTTCATTATTCGACGAATATAGTTTTAAGAGTCCGGTCAATCAATAATATTCAGAAATCTCTTGAATTAAAGTAACCCGAATCATTTGAAATATTTCGAAATAATACGAATCTATCAGAATAATAATTCAATATAATTTTCAAAAATTTTCAGAATACTATTTAAGAAAAATCGAATATTTTCAAAATTCATAATATAATCGATATTATTGCCTATATTTCAAAGATTCCGTATTATCGAGAATAATTAAGACTAAATTTTCCCAATTATATATAATCTGCTCAAATTCTTTCCAAAAAAAAATTGTTTTTTAAATAAATGCATGAAATTCAATAGAAGAAAAATTAGATTTCTTATATATATATTTTCTATATTTCTGCAAGATCCATATATATATATTAAATTTTCATATTTCTAAATTTATTCGAAAAATTAATATCATCAATCATGATTTCAATATTTTCTTTTCTTTCATTTAAATCATTCGATTCAATTCATATAATCTAAGAATATATCATTATTATTTTCCCGAAAATTTCGCGAAGAGATCTTCCGTACGGAGCTCTTCAGAGTAAGAATATCGAGTGAAATATATGGAGTCAAGTATATAGTATTCAGAGGGAAATGTATAATATGCCGAATGAAATAGATTAGCGTAATACCCGATTTTTACCTCTTTTATATCCGTCTTATACCCGACTTATCTATATCCGATTTATCAAAATCTACCCGACTTATACCCGACTTATACCCGACTTATCTATTATCCTATTGTACTTATCTATATCTCTCTTTTTTCCCGACTTATACCCGACTTATCTATTACCCGACTTATCTATATCTTTCTTAGAATTTAAATATTCTTTCTAAAGCCGGAGCCAGCTC